AGTTCCAGGGATGTGGGAGAGCTCCCGGGTGTGATAGAATTCTAGGGTTATGATAGAGTTCCAGGATGTGATGGAGCTCTGGKGCGGTGATGGAGAGCTCCGGGGTGTAATAGAGTTCCAGAAATGTGATGGAGCTCCGGAGCAGTGATGGAACTCCCAGGATATGATGGAGCTCTGGGGTGGTGATGGAGCTCCCGGGATGTGATGGAGTTCCAGGAATGTAATGGAGTTCCAGGAATGTGATGGAGTTCCAGGGATGTGATGGAGCTCCCGGGATGTGATGGAGTTCCAGGGATGTGATGGAGTTCCAGGGATGTGATGGAGCACTGAGCACATGATGGGGCTCAGGGCACGGCCATGGGTGTCCCCAGGTTCCTGCCCGCCCCATGCTGTGTCCGTGACAGTGGTGCCGCGGTGCCGCCCGGTGTGCGGGTCTGTCCTGGTGGGCAGCGGCAGCGCTGGGCAGGGGTCAGCAGGCACTGCCCGCGGTCAGCACTCCTCATCGGCGATGTCCAGGATGCTGCCCAGCAGCGTGGTGAAGGTGGGGCGCTCCTCAGGCTTCTGCRGGAGAGAAGGGAGCCTGGCTGGAGCCCGTGTCTGCCCCAGCCGTGCCCCAGGGAGCCCCGTCACCCGTCACCCTGCCAAAGCACCCGCAGGTGTCCCCAGGGCTAAAAGCCACTCACCTCGTGCCAGCAGCTGTACATGATGGTGTAGACCCGCTCCGAGGCCGCCTGCGGCCGGTACAGGCGCAGGCCTTGGATGACGTGCTCGGTTGTCTCGCTGTTATTAAACCTCTCGTAAGGCATCTTTCCCAGGGARTAAACTTCCCACATCAGGACGCCTGTTGGAGGGAACAGCAGGGAGAGTTCTTGGCACGGGAGCACCTGTGCCCGAGCCTGTACTCTGAGAGGAGTTCCCAATCTCCAGTCATTAACGCTGTGCTCTTACCAAAGGACCAGACGTCAGACTTGCTGCTGAACCTGCTGTACAGCAGCACTTCAGGAGGAGACCACCGCACTGGGAACTTGGAGCCCAGGGAGCTCGTGTACTCGTCATCTAGCACATACCTGAAGCAGGAAAACGGATCAGGGGCCTCRCTTGGATTTCACTTTTCACTCCTCCACACAACTGACCAAGCCCAAAAGGAATGGGCAGCTCAGAGTGASCAGAGGTTGCAGCTCTGCATGGGTTTCAGCAGGCAAGTTAAGGACTGGGGAAGGGATGGGCTGATACAGAAGKACAGCAAAAAGGGGATGTGGAGAGAAAGCTGCAGCCAGGAGACAAGAGGTGGGGAAAAGAAGATGCAAAGAGGAGCRGGGAAAAGGGCCAGGGGAAGTAAGAATGGTGGAAAGTGGAGGGTCAGAAAGTTGAGCCAGGCAAAAGAAATGGAAAGACAACAGGAAAGAAGAGCTGGAGRATGGTGGGGACAAAGACTAAAGTGCAGAATTATTGGAGGAGATGGGATACTGAGACAGAAAAGTGACACAGACACATCTACCAGACCTGGAAAGACCAAAATCTGACACTTTCACAATTCCTTGGTCATTCACCAAACAGTTTCGAGCAGCCTGTSAATGGAGAGATGGAGGCAGTTACTTCTACCTGCTACTGCCTCTCCCATCCCCTTATACCAGGTGAACTTCATCTCCTCCCCACCCACCTAACACTTCACCTCACTTTTTCCTGCAAATTCAGCTGGACTGGGGCAAGCTACAAAGTCATCAGCAAAGAGAGCAAGAGAGGCCTCCAAGCATCCTGGTTGTGTAYGGAGGGGCGACTTCCCGGGGTGGATTTTGCCTGAACAAAGCAGCCACACAGCCCTTACCAGGTCTCGGTGCAGGAACTGCTTGGATTCCAGGTACTCCATAGCTTCACAGACATCCTTGCACATCTCCAGCAGCTCAGCAGGCTGGAACCGCTGCCGTGTCTCCCTCAGGAAGTTCAGGAGGCAGCCGTTGGCCATGTACTCAGTGATGATGAAGATGGGACGCTGCTTAGTGCAAACCCCATAGAGCTGCACCAGCTTCTCATGGGACAGGTTCCTGTGTTGGGGACAAGGGCGGTTCTGAGCATCTAGAAGGCCAAACAGCAAAGGAAGTACMTAAATACCTGTGAATAAGGAGAATTTGGGAAGGGAAAATGCTTCTGGCCCAGGTGACAGTGGAAAWCCTCACCAAGGAATCAGCACAAAGTCAGTGGGATCTTGGATGCATTTTGCAGAATATGGGACTGCCCAAGATGGTCCCCCCACACCTCCCAGCAGCGCTGCCATTCTGGCAAGGAGCGTCCAGCACTGACCTGCATGGTGCTCACCACTTACATCATGACTTTGGCTTCGTCAATAAACTCGTCCTCTGACATGGAGCCCTCCCTGATCATCTTGATAGCAACRTTGTACTGGCCTCTCCATTTGCCATACTTCACCACGCCAAACTGCCCCGTCCCGAGTTCCTTCAGGAAGGTCAGATCCTTGGGGTCAATCTCCCACGAYCCTAGGGCAGAGTGTGAGTGTGATGCGGGTGCAGGTGACCTCCTGCATGGTGCTCTCACTCATCTGATCCAGCAAGCCCAAGAAAAGCTCACAAGCATTTGCTGCCTGAAAAACCACCCACACAAAATCCACAAAATCCGAGATCTGTTCTTCTAGGGGATGGGAGCAAGGTAGCTTGGGGGGTCTTTTGGTCAGCACTGTCATCAGAGGGCATTTGGGAAACGATTCCCTCTGTGAGCCATGGGACAGCCAGGATCCCAACCTGGCCAAGCTGCTGCCAGCAGAAACAGAGCCTGCAACAGGGAGCTGTGAAATAGCCCAGGCTGGCTTACCATAGCCAAGGCCAGCTGTGGAAGGAGCACTTTTCTTGTGCTGAGACACGGGGTACTTGAGTCTGGATATGAGCCCTGAAACACAGAAGGAGAGATTGCCACATTCCAGCAGGGAACACAAGCGTCCTGCCTTTGGTGCAGGAAGGTGGGGATACCCTGGTGCCATTGAAAACACTGCTGGCTTCACTGAGTGTCCCAAACCTGCAGAGTTGTGCTGATGGTACGTGATAAGCTCGGGGATGCTGTTGAACAGRTGTTTTTCTGCCAGGTAATACTGATTCTGCGGGGTGCAGCAGACAACGTAGTGGCGGATTGTGCCTTGGGGGTCTCTGGAGAGGGAGAACAYGGGGTCAGTGGCATGGGGAGGAGAGGCAGAGGGTGAGGGGTGCCCGGAGGGTCCCTCTGAGGGAGGAACAAGCTGTTCTTAGAGCCACTTACGCAGAGGACTTGGCATAGACGGAGACAGTGTATTTCCCTGTCTTGCTGGTGGAATCTCGGACAATGAAGCCACCTTCCTTTCCCTAAAACAGAAAGAGAAAAGGCCCCTGGGTGGTTGTGGGGAGGTGTGGYTGTAACAGGCAAAACTGAAAGTGAGTGAAGATCACAGCATGGCTAGAGAGGGTGCAGGGGAGTCTTGCTTCCAGCTCCTGCATGGGGGACAGGCCACCTCCTGAAGTGGCTGCCTGGAGGAGCTCACACTGGGATAGGGGAGGTTCCTGGGGCTGTTGGGATGACATTCCCCTCCCAGCACAAGCCAGGGTTGGTCTCAYGCTGAACACAATGTGAGAACAGCGCACGCAGGGCTGGTGTGTAGAACAGACCAGYCCCAGGAGGCAGCACTCACCTCCTGTTTCAGCAGTTGCTCTGCTTGGCTCCGAGTGATATTCTTCGAGTACCACCTGCAAAAGGGACACAGCCATCAGGGAGATCCCCACAGCCACCTGTGTCCCCAGCTCAGTCTGACCCTGGGCCAGCCAGAGAGCAGGGCAAGGATGGCTGCCAGGGGCTGGAGGCTGTCAGASGATGTGCAGAAGGGACAGTGACCCAGCCAGGCTGGGCTCGTGGGCTGTGTAGGGTAACAGAACCAAATGGAAAATGTCTCCAACCAAGTGGAACTCKCCAGGTCCCTGTGCCCTCTCTTACTCAAAGATCTCCAGGGAATTTCTGGTTTCAGTCACATAGTTGCTGGGGATGTATCCTTCTCTCCTGCAGGGGAAAAGGGGCTGGTCACACACTGATGGAGGAGGGAAAGGAGTAGAAATGGGCTCAAAACTCAGGAGGCAGAGTAGAAATGGGCTCAAAACTGTTGGTGCAAACCCATCTGGGTTCATGTCTGGGGAGGGCTGACCCCACAGCCTGCTTCAGCCTCCTSCCCCTCTTCCCCAGGGGAGCCCACRGGYGAGCAGGCAGCCTGTCCTCGCCCTCGGGGTGACAAAAGGGTGGGTTTGCCCATCAATGCCCAGGCACCAGGGCAGGGCAGCGCTGCAGAGCCACGGCCAGGGGCAGTGGGAGCTCTCACCCGTTCTTGTCGAGGGCTTTCCACCAGGGCAGGTGGCTCTCCTCCAGGATGAAGTACTCCTCGCCCTTCTGCAGCTGCAGGTCCTGCGCRTTCATCGGCTCGTAGTTGTACAGGGCCACMACCTTCTTCATCTCCCCTGCTGTGCTGGGGGCTGGCTCGGGGGGCAGAG